AATTATTGTATTATTATCAAGATTTTAATTCTCATATTTATTTATTTTATTTTAAAAATAAAGTTTTGATCGATTAAGTAGTATGTGATCGATGAATCCTTGTGTTCACTTAAATGATTTACATCCATCACATCATACTAACTATATTAAGAAACCTTAATCATAAATTATCTGGCACTAGTGTGTGTTATGGGTATATTGAAGTAATTAAAGATAAGTATAATGGAGCATTTGTTAGTGTTGAGTGACCATGCAATTCCCAATCATGACTTATTAATCAACATTAAGTTCAATTTGTTACTGGTTATGGAGATGCTATCAAAGGATATTTAAAATGAGGCATCATGATAACTACATTTTCACCACAATATTATTTTAATGGTTTAAGTCTTTATTGGCATAAGTGCAAAAATAGAAAAATGGAAAAAATATTTAAAATATGAAGGGCTTGAAACTAAAAGAATAAAAAACAACTATATTGACATAATTTTAGTTGGTGCAATATTACTACTTATCAACCAAAATAAAGTAACACCTAGTGACCTAGGTGTCAAAGATTTAGATCTATTATACATATAATGGTATATAAATGAGGGAATAATTGTTAAACCTAATGTGAGGTGATTAAAGGACCTCATGAATATCATGTGATAAGAGAATATCATGGAGAGCTAAAGATAAAATGTATAAAACCGCAATTAGGCTAACTATGCTATTAGTGTTGGGAATAGGGGTGTAAATGAGTCAAGTCGAGCTCGAGTCACAACAAACATGAGCTCAACTTGTCACTCAAATAAGGAGCTCGAACTTGAGCTGGAGCTCTAATGCAACAAAATAATAGCGCAAAAAAACACAACCTTCCTTTCTTAAAACATTGACAAACATAAACAAGATAATAATAATACTAAAACAAAGGCACACTACAACTTATAAAATTTTAAGAAGAAGGATACAATAGAAGGGTAACTTGTGGAGAGAAGAACTAGGTAGAAGACTTAGAAGAAGAAGAAGAAGAAGAAAGTAGGGAAAAAGAAGTAAGTAGATAAGAAGAAGTAAGTAGGGAAGAAGAAGCTCTCAAGCTTTGGAAGAAACCCCTCAGGTTTTTAGAGACAAATATCCACTTCAACAACCTCCCAACAGCAGCCAACATCTCATTTAAATAGGGGAAAGGAGCTCTAAAGACACCCAAAGCAGCCGCCCCATTCAGCCAATCAAAACAGAGGAAAAGCCCAAGAGAAAAGGCACGGCAAAACCACAAACCGAGAAGCCAGGCCCCCTCAAAAGACCAGCCAGAATCGGAGCAGCCAGGTTTTGAATATACACCAAGAAAGGAGCACGACAGCTCAGGAACCAAGCAGCCAATTGCTCAAAAAAAATAGCCACCAATCAGCCACAACTCTCCAAACACCAAACAACCAAAGAAACATGGGTCAAGCCCATTTAGCTAAGTTCAACCCAACATTAAATACCCAAGGAAATATTTTTTTACCAACATAAATTCTCCCCAGGAGGAGAATCTCATCTCCTGATGAGAACACTTCAATCATCTGTTGAGAGATATCAGGATTATGAAACTGCAACTCTTCAATTTCAACAGTCAGTTAGGGGGACGTCCATTAATCCAACCAAGAATCGTTGGTGCACTCCATGTTTTGCTTGGGTTGTATGGATATCCACAGCATCATTAGGAACAGTAAAGGGCAAAGTTCACACAATTGTTTGCTTTTAGCAGTACCTTTACTTGACGCAGCTAGATTCATCAATTCAAGTTGTTCATCCTCTATAAGTTGCATGTTTCCTTCAATATTTTAATGAGCTATAAAGGCTTTATCAACAGCTTCTTCCATGGTCATTGTTCCCAATTGCAGTTCTTTTGGCTGCCTCACCTTCTTTTCTTCCATGTTTACTTCATTCAGCGGCATTTTGCAGCAGACATGTTGATTAACATACTGCAACGTTGCTTCATCAGATCGACTTACAAGAATAACAATTTCTCCATTGTGCCTTTCATAGTCTTGCATCTTTTTGTCAGTCGGTGTTTGCACCTCGCTCTTTTTTTAATACATTGTTCCTCACACGCTACCAACCTATCCACAACTTCAACACTGTCTATTGTTTGAGTATCAAATTTATCCACAATATCATTGATTGGATAAATAGTAAACTGAGCATCTTGAAGAGCATAACCAAGTTGTATTTCTTCTTCTTGTTTTTTTGGATGTTTCTTCCCAGAAGAAAAACATGACAAATTACTACCAAGTTCATGAACTTAATCAAGATTAATTGAAGAACCAACTTCATCAATAGGCGTTCTCCAAAGTGAGTTTTGCAGACAGCTAGAACTTGCTCGTTGGAATATAGATTTCACCTTATTGGATCCTGCATTTTGTTTCAAAATAGGTTTGCACTTTGGACTTAATGCAACCAGGGTATTAGTCATTGCTTCCATTTATTGTTGTTGGTTAACCAGTTGTTGCATAAACATACGTTGACATTCAGCTTGCTGATTATCCATATTTTTATAAAAAAGAAATGAAGAATAGAACGACAACCAAGGGCTCTAATATCAAATTGATGCGACAAAATAATAGCGCAAAAAAAACAACCTTCCTTTCTTAAAACATTGACAAACATAAACAATATTATAATAATATTAAAACAAAGGCACACTGTAACTTATAAAAATTTAAGAAGAATGATACAAAGGATGGGTAACTTGTGGAGAGAAGAACTAGGTAAAAGACTTAGAAGAAGAAGTAAGTAGGGAAGAAGAAGTAAGTAGGGAAGAAGAAGCTCTCAAGCTTTGGAAGAAAACCCTCAGGTTTTTAGAGACAAATATTCACTTCAACAACCTCCCACAACAGCCAACGTCTCATTTAAATTGGGGAAAGGACCTCAAAAGACACCCAAAGTAGTCATCCCATTCAGCCAATCAGAACAGAGGAAAAACCCAAGAGAAAAGACACGGCAGAATCACAAATCGAGAAGCCAGACCCTCTCAAAAGACCAGCCAAAATCGAAACAGCCATGAGCTGAATAGACACCAAGAAAGGAGCACGGCAGCTCAGGAACCAAGTAGCCAGTTGCTCAAAAAAAAACAGCCCCCAATCAGCCACAACTCTCCAAACACCAAACAGCCAAAGAAACATGGGCCAAGCCCATTTAGCTAATTTCAGCCCAACATTAAATACCCGAGGAAATATTTTTTTGCCTACATCAAGCTTGAGTCAAGCCCACAGAACGAGCTCGAACTTGACTCGAGTCTTCGTTCTCAGGCTCAAGAACTCGACTCGACATATGTCGTGGCGGGATTTTTGGTTCGTCGAACAAAGTCACGGATTGTGTGTTGTACAGGTTTACAGTTGGAGATCGGGGAAGAAAAAGAAATATCATGGAAGAAGAAATGTTCATCTTTTTTCTAAAAAAGCTGTCAAAGAGTACTTTTTTTTTAACAGATTATTAACTAATGTGAAAGAAATTTTTTCAATTTCATTGGTGAAAGCTATTGCAAAGTTTTAAATGTTATTATTAAACATATAAATTTTGAATAATTATTTTTAATATTTATTTCTTTTAAAAAATATATTCTTCAATATTTAAATTATTTAAATCAACTCACGGGCCTACGAGCTGAGCTTAATCAAACTCGAACTCGAGCTCGAGCCGGCTCAGCTCAATCAGCTCAATTACACCCCCTAGTTGAGAAGTAAAAAAGTTTAAGTGTACCAGAAATTAGATTGGTGAATTGGATGTGTCATGTGTAGAAAAAGGGTAACATTTATTCGAATAAACTAGTAAAAAATCAATTTCGTTGGTTTGGATATGTACAAAAAAAATTTACAGAAGATGCACCGATAAAATGAGTGGATAAAAGTAATAGAAAAATAAATTAAGCAGTGGAGATAGCTTGGATAGAAGTTGTGCAAAATAGAATTAATAAAGCCAATAACAAATAGTTGAGATGAGGCTAATGATGATTATGATGATATTAAACAAAATAGCCATCAAGATGAGATCAAACAAAATAGCCATCAAGATGAGATCAAACAAAATAGCCATCAAACCCCTTCCGATAACATACTCAAATTCAATTGCGACCATCTAATAACACCAAGCCTAAGAAACACTAACAAGTTAAATAACGGTAACACATTAATACATTCAACCAGGCTACATACTGCCCAACAACATGAATGGATAAATCCTCATTAACACTGGATACAACTAAATTAAATCTTTGTTAAGCAATGCATGAGTGTATTACCCAAAACAAACAAAAATAATATAGAATTAAAGATAAGTGATAAAAAAATAAAACCTAACATGAGTAGAACCATAAAATAAACCTGCAACAATCAAGGACTGAAAATTTAGGCCGTGCAAATTAAACATGTCAATCAGTCAATCACAAATCTAGCAACAAATCCAGTAACGTTCAGCCTATAAACAATCCAACAGCGCATTACGTCTTAAAAATGGAAGCCATCATGCCAACCCCACCACTTGTATTTCAGCTACAACCCCATCCTTATGTTCAGATCGATTAAAAGCAGAACTCACCATAGACCATCCTCCCTTTAACCATTCTATCAAAATTAGAAGCTCATTCATCCAGCCATCAGAACCCAGCCTATACCTGAAATTCATTATCTAATAACTCCCAGGTTGTGTATCGAATTGTACAAATAAGCAAAGGATGAAGTTGTTTCTTTAATTTTTCACGCGGAATCATAAAATAATAAAGTATTTGGAAAAAAAACTATGTTTTGTTTAAACAAATTGTTTGAACCGATCGAACAACAAACTCTAGACTTCTGCAGCCTGAAAAAAAAAAAAACTCATAGGCCATGGCACTGTAAACATAGATCTGCATATAAAAACACTACCTACGGCAAATACCACCATATCCACGTAACCCACGTCACAAGTAACCCACGAACTGAATCGAGTTTTGTATTAAAATACAATAAATTCGAGAAGAGAGGGATCGAACTCCTCACCTAAGTGAAATTCGTGGCCGCATTGGAGCCTTGCAATCGATCGCTCTCCCCGATCGAGAACAAGATCGATGCAGATCGAGCAGGAAACCGCCTTGAGGTCCTCGGAAATATCATGCTTCTCGAGATCCATAGCGTCCACCGTTTCAAAATCTGTCATAGATCCCTTGGACTTCCGGCTTCCAATCCTCCTCCGGCGATCAGAGACCCCCACCGCTTCCCATCTTCTTCGCAAAACCGAATCAGAAAATCTGAGGATATATAGTAAGAGAGGCGATATGGGCATTCAGAGATGGAAGAAAAAGGAACCTCGGGCACGCGATTTCTTTAGAGCTGCCTGCCCATAAAAATTTAATTGGCGAGCCGGTCAAAATTTTAATTAAAAGGAATTAATTATTAGGGTTTTGACGTTTTTGTATGGATTATTAAATATTTTAACCTGTTTTTAAATAAATTTAATACATGAATAATTAATATTTTATTTATCTCAATATACATTTAAAATTTTTAAATTAAACCTAATTACTTCTAAATTATATATTATTGTTGGATCTTAGCACAACTCTCAATATAATTTTTGAAGTCAAAATTTTTAGAATTAAACTCAATATCATGTGAATTAAGATTTTGATAAACTAATAGTCAAATTAAATATTTTTATGAAGCAAACTCATAGATATTATAAGTGATATGATACAACTCCACATTAGTTAAAATCAAGTATAAGAGGCATTGTTGATTTGAACCGGTAGTAGACTATCGCACTTAATAAGTACGTAAATGGCCCCAAATATTCCAAAAAAAAAAAGTATGTAAATTTACATTTTTTTTTCTCAAAACATGTGCCTTAGTTTATATTATTTTACTGTAACATTCTCTTTTCTAATGTTCAAATGATGCTTAGACATGGTGTCATTTATTGCTTTGAAGTTTCCTCCCTTAAATTATTGTGGGCTGAGAAATTCACGACAATAAAGTGAAAAGATTTTGCGTCTTTGTGATGCACGAAAATTTAGTGCGCAAACATATGAAAGAAAAACACCATAATTTTTAAGTGAAATATCCTGAAAAGTGAAAAAAAAAAATCACGATGACTTTCACAATTAAAATGATTTCACTAATGTTTAAGCAGATTATAGAGGTTTAACAGCTCCTTAACTCAAGGATGATGAAAATGCAATGTATTCGAGAATTGACCAAACTTCATACGGGCACTCCTGATATTGAATAAATGATAGATATCAAAAGTGTCACAACCCAACCCGATCAAGATAGGTACTATCGTGTTGAGTTGTGACAAACAATTCCCAATATCTAATTTTAAAATATTTCAGATTTTCTTCTAATATTCATTTTAAATAAACTATAAACTATAGAGACACTAAAACTCATCCACATGATTTTTTTTCCTTTTATCAAAATATATCTACATTATAGTACATGACTATATGTAGAAGCTACATAACTGAATAAACTTTCATTTACTATACAAAAATCAAAATAGAGATATACCTATAAACTCACATATGATCCTGAAGTATTAATCCACAAGCTCCTTCCCTTTACCAGAGCATAAAAATTATTAAAAAAAAAAAATTACCGTGAGCTACAATAGCTCAATAGGCCACACAAGCCGATCTAAATTTATAAAATTATTTTATTAAATATTTTGCTGAATATTTAAAATTTATTGAATACAATCTAATAAATTATTGTAATGAGGAATGTCATACGAGCATAGCACTTATCCAGTTATAAAAAAAATATTAAGCAGATGAATAAATTACAATCTATATCACAAAGCATTTTATATCACATTCTTCGCACTCAGACAAAATCTTAAGGGATTCTAGCCTCTTATGACTTTATTTTGTACTTATAGCACCAGAATATCCCCGTAGGCATAAGAACATGATTTATATCCTTCAGAATGTCTTATAGACATTAGAATATTTCCTTGCACAAATAGAATCTTAAATGATTCTGACCCCCTATAACTCCCAATATATATTATTTAATCACAAATGCTTTTTTCAACAAATTATAGTTGTTAAAGCGTAATAAAGTATGTGTTATAATTGCAAAGTTTTCTCTAACGGTATGCAACAGAAAACCCTACTAGATAAAATGTACATTTTTAGAAAATAACAAAATGAGGCACGACTTGTGAGCTAGAGAGGCGGCTCACCATTAATTAATTTTTTTAATAAAATAGTTATATATTTGATACATCATCAAAAAATTATCTTGATCGGACACGGATCTCGTTGCACAATCAAGTTGGAAACTTCCAAAATTAAAATTGGGACCATTCAAATTCCTATTTCATCAAACTTACAGTTGAACTGAACATCTCAGAAATATGAAACCAACGACACAAAATTCGACTCAATCTGAGCACAAATGGGTCCAAATCAAGGGTCTGAAGTGTTGTTGGAGGGTTTGAACCATAATTTGGACTACCAAATGGTTTCCAAACATGAAGTTCTTATAGTCAAATCAAGCGGCTCGATGAGACAAATCCAACGAGCACAAGATCACTGAATTTTGTCATTACTAAGGCATTCAAATGTCCATCAAACGATCCATGATCAAGGGATTCAATATCGACTATCCATCTAACCACTCCCCATTTACCCTTAACCTCTCACCTATTTACATGTAATGCCACTCTAAAAATCTATAAATAGACCATCGCCTATCGTCTTTGCTCTGTCGAACCACCACTTGAGGCCCTCACCTCCGCTGGACCATCACCTGACGTCGTTGCTCTGTCGAACCACCGCTTGACGTCATTGCTCCGCCGGGCCACCACTTGAGGCTCTATGCTCCACCAAGCCACCACCTAAGGCCTGGACTTCTACCGGACCACTACCTGAGTCTCAAAATTTTGCGAGACCGCCAGCTGAGGCCCAAAATTATATTGGACCACCACTTGAGGCCCTGTGCTCCACCAGACCATCACCTTAGGCCTAGACTTCTGATAGAACACCACTTGAGGCCCCTAGCTCCACTAGGATAACACCTAACACCCAAAGTTATGCCGGATCACCACTTGATTCCTGGACTTCTGTCGGACCGCCATATGAGACCCGAAATTCTACCGGACCACAACCTGAGACTTGGATTTCTGTCGGGCCACCACTTAATGCCAAGAGTTCTCCCGGAGTATCACCCTTCTACTATGGTCTTTCAGACCTATATCTCATGCCGACTATGGTCCTTCCAACCTCCATCACCAGACAACAGTCTTTCTGACCCCGATCTCCTACCAACTACGGTCTTTCGGACCCTTGTCTCATGCTAACTATGACCCTGCCAACCAAACAAACATGTTTATTATTGTAACTCCCACCATGTAATGCGCTCTATATGACGTACATTTGTAACATCAAGCTAAGGCCTTCTTTCTAAGGTCTTCATTTGTAATCAACTGCAAATACTAGTGGATTCATTCAAATTGGGACAGGCCCTATGGTTTTCCCCCATTTTTAAGAGGTTTCCACATAAAAACTCTGGTGTATCTTATTAACGCTACACCCCTTTATCTAATCTACTTGTGTGTTGGATCTTCGTACAATGCTAAGTTGTTAAACTATATATTTCTCTACCGCCGCGAATACTCCAGGATGCAACAATATTAAAGACATATTGATGGAACGCTACCAGAAGCAAGAATTCTAAACTCTAAGTGAGAATTTCAAGCTTTTGGGAAGGAATTATAAATGGTGTGCTCACATGCATAACGTAGTTAAACGAACAACACATTTTTGGGCTCACGTCTGGACTACGAGACATGAACGACGTAGGCTTGTAGAAAAACTGCAGGATGCGAGGATGTGAACGACATAGGATCACGTGTAAACAGAAATGATGCGAATTGCAGGATGGGAATGATATCGGCTCCAATCACAAAATCGAGCGACTTAACTAGCCATTTGGATTATGATGAGTCAAGCTTGAGTTTGAGCCAATTTTTTAACTAATGAGCAAAGTTCAATAAGGTTATTACTCGGCTCGACTCAACTCGGTTACACCCCTAAACTCAAGCCCCATTTTTTGCCTCAGATTCATATCCTTCTGGGCGAATATGTGTTTCACACTCTAATGATTGGTAAAAATATTGCACTTGACATCATACATATAGTGCCTCAAATTCTTCAAAATAAAAATCACAGCAATAAACTAAATCATTCGTCGGATAGTTCCTTTCATACGGCTTCAACTGCTTGGAAGCATAAGTTATAACTTCACCGTGTTGCATTAATACACATCTCAAATCTCTCAGTGAAGCATCACTGAATACTTGAAATCCTTTTATATCATATGGAAGAGTCAAAACTATAACAAAAGTCAAACAATATGTCAATCTCAAAAGACTAGCCTCACACTCCGATGTCTAGACAAAAGTTATTGACTTTTGAGTTAGTTTTGTTAGGGGTGCAGAAGTCTTAAAAATTTTCTTCACAAACTTTCTGTAATATCTAGTCATACTTATAAAACTACTTACATCAAATACAATAGTAGGCCTCAACCAATGAATGAATGGTTAAACTTTCTGGGGATCTACAAAGATAACAACACTATTCATCACATGCCCTAGAAAGATAACACTCTTAAGCTGAAACTCTCATTTAAAGAATTTGACATATAGTTGATGCTGCCTTAAAATCACATTTAGAGAATTTGACATATAACATAACAATCCTCATATTTATGGCATGATATTCATCAAAAGCTGAATGAATTAAAATGTCATCTATAAAAATAGTAACAAACTGATCCAATTGATCTCTGAAAACTCTATTCATCAGATCCCTAAGGACAGCTAGTGCATTGGTCACCCTCAATGGTATGACAAAAACTCATTATTTTTAATGTCGTACTAAAAGCTATCTTCATCATATTAGACTCTCTTATCTTCACCTAATAATTATCAAATTGTGAATCAATATTTGGGAATATAAAAGATCCAACAAGCTGATTGAATATATCATCAATTCCTAATAGAGGGTACTTATTCTTGATAGTGATTTATTTAACTCCATGTAGTTAATGCACACACGCATCATATAATCCTTTTTGTCACAAATATAATATGTGCTCCCTACGAAGACACACAATGTTGAATAAATTCCCTATTAACCAACTGCTATAACTGAACCAACAACTCATGAAGCTCTTTAGGTGTTATCCTATACAAAGCTTTGGAAATTAGGGTTGTACCCGAAAATATATCAATGTAGAATTTTATATCATTGTCCAGAGACAAACTCACTATAAAAATCCTTATATTTTCCAAGAATTTTTGACCTAGAATTATTAATAATTATTTCATAAGTCATTATAGGTTCAAATCATAATCCGTCTTTGCTAGAACATATATAATGTAGTGATTTAATTACCTTAATTTTTTTCATAAATTTTGGGCATTAGTGAAATTTCTTACAAAATTGGTACTTATCGGTATAAGTGTGAGGAATGATAGGTGTATATTTTGCAAACTGATTTCACCATAGTGTTTTTGACATGCTTAGTTAATTTATAAATATTATTGTATAACTTTTAGATTCCTTATTTCAAATATATAATAGAATTTTAGGCTAAAAAGTTGAACAATTACATTAATGACCTAAATGTCAATGAATATTTTATAATAAAATAAATACTTTATTATTCTCCACTAAAACTATTTCACTTCATTTGAAAATAGAGAAGGTAAATCCATCACAAAGAGCTCGAAGGAGAATTAAGAGAGAATTTGAGGAGAGAGAAGGAAAAAGATTAATTTTGAGTGACTTTGAGCCATTCTCGTTCGTCAGCCCAGTTGAGAATTTTTTATCTTGAGGCATGTCACATTACGCATATCTCAATTTAAAAAAATAAAAAAGTTTTTATCAACTTTTTTTATCAAAATTCTGTTTTAATTATTAAAAATGTGGATAAATTTGCACTAATAAAATTTTCACATCGTAACTTTTTATATGTTATAGAGATTGAGATTATGTATATTTTGAGTCTTTTTTAAAAATTTTATAAAGAGGGTTTTTGAAATTTATAGAATTTTTATTGAATAAAAAAAAGTATCTATATGTTAAAAAATCGTGTTGTAATATGATAAAAATCTTAAAATATTATTTTACATAATTCCTAATACTATAGTTATATATTTTTTTTAAATGTGTAATTTTGCCTACTAGATTTTTCTGGTGCCTAGCGTTAGAGAAAATTGTACAGTTCAAACACATGTTTAATTACGCTTTAGCTAAGAGGGTTTTGAAATTTATAGAATTTTTATTGAATAAAAAAAAGTATCTATATGTTAAAAAATCGTGTTGTAATATGATAAAAATCTTAAAATATTATTTTACATAATTCCTAATACTATAGTTATATATTTTTTTTAAATGTGTAATTTTGCCTACTAGATTTTTCTGGTGCCTAGCGTTAGAGAAAATTGTACAGTTCAAACACATGTTTAATTACGCTTTAGCTATATATGATGAAAAATGTATATATGTAATGTCTGGTGGGAGTCAGGGGCCAAAAATTTTTGATATTTTGTTTATGTTAGGGAATACTATGGTGCCTATAAGACATATTTTAGTGGATATAAGCCATGTTCTGGTGTGCTTAAAAGCATGTTCTAGTACTATAAGCAAAATTGAGAGTCATAAGAAATTAGAATCCTTTGAGATTATGTCTATGTTCGATAAATGTAATATGAACTGCTCTATGATATTTATTATAATTTATTTATTTGTTTAGAGATAATTAGATAAGTGATATACTCTTATTACATTTCTCAATACAATTATTTATTACACTACATTTAACTGCTTTTAAATATTCAACAAAATATTTAATAAAAGATTTTTAAAAATTTAGATCAGATTGTGTGTCCTACTGAATTGTTTTAGCTCACTGTAGTTTTACGTTGGGTTTTCAAGCTTTCGGAAAGGGAATAAGATTGTTAATTAGTAATTCACGATCAAATCTAAGTTTATAAGTATTTCTCAGTTTTGATTTTTGTACATTCATAACTAGTTCATTATTTAGTTATATAGCTTTTGCATATAGCCATGTGGTTATTATGAAAATTAGGAAAGATATAAAGAGGCTCGTAAGATCTCTAAAAAAGATAGCGTGTAGCGTTCATAAAAGACACTAGAGTTTTTACTTGAAACCTCTAAAAAGGGGAAAAAATCACGGGGGCCTGGCCTAGTTTGAATGAATCAACTATTATTTGCAGTCGATTACAAATAAGGCCCTTCCTTCGGAGAAACTATTGCGTACGGAATCTAAATGCATTCAGATTCCAATCACTATGCGCTACATCATTGGATTCAATGGGCCCCGGAGTGCATCCGCTGACGTGGCATGCTGTGATTGGAATCCGAATGCATTCAGATTCCGCACACAATAATTTCTCATTCCTTCGAGGAAGGCCTTGGGGTGATTTTAATAATGTACATCATACTATATAGTGGGAATAGGAAGAATCGCTATTGACGTATTCGTTCGGTCGGAAGGATCGTAGTCGGTGGACGACGAAGGTCGAAAAGACCATTGTCTTACGATCGAGGTCAGAAAGATCATTGTATGGCGACAAAGGTCAAAAGGATTGTAGTCGGCGAAGGAGGTCGGAAGGACAGTAGTCTGCGGGTGACAGATGCTGGAAGGACCATATTCAGCGGGCGACGGAGGCCGTAGTTTGGTGACAGTGGTCGGAGGGGCCATAATCGGCGGACGACAAAGGTCGGAAGTTCGGCGATGGGCAGAAGTTCGACGTCAGATAGAAATTTAGTGAGGAATGGAAGTTTACATCGGGTAGAAGTCTGATGAATGTCCTATAATGGGCAGAAGTCCGACATCGGGTAGAAATTAAACGACGAATGGAAGTTTGCATCGGATAAAAGTCCGATGAATGTTCGTCGACGGGTAGAAATCCGGCAACGGTCAGCGGAAGAGTGAAATTCTGACGTCGGTCGGTAACTGGGCGGTGGTCTGACGACGGTCGGGCTGAAGTTTGGCGATGGTCGGTAGCGGGGTGGAAGTCTGGCGGCGATCGACGGCGAGGAGGTGGTCTGACGATGGTCTAGCTGAAGTCCGGAGGCAGTCGATGGCTGGGTGGAATTTCGGCGGCGACTGGGCGGTTGTCCAATGAAGGTCAGGCTGAAGTCCAGCGGCGGTAGGCGGCCGTTTGGAAGTCTGACGGTGATCGACGGCCGGGTGATGGTCTGACGAAGGTCTAAAGTCCGATCGGTGGTCGGGAGGTGTTGCTAAAGCTCTTGCCCCCCCCCCTAAAGCTCTTTCCCCCCCCCCCCCAACCTCGTGTAGAGTGTGAGGGCTTATTTATAGATTTTTATGAGTGACAGACCACGTAAATATAGAGAAGATCTGAGGCTGATTTAGAGAGTTCCATCGGATGACTCGTATTAATTCCTCTGATCATATAGAGTTTTTCAATTGTTTAAGTGCTTTAATGATGTCAGAATCCAGCGATATTGGGCTCGTTCGATTCGTCTCACTGAGCCACTCGATTTGATTATAAGCATTCCATATTTGAGTATCATTTTGTCATCCAAATAATACTTTGATCTTTCCAAATGTTGTTCGAGCCCCCCATTTGGACCCATTTGGGCTCGCCGGTTCGGGTTGTATCGATTTTGGTGCCATTAGGCTTGCTCTTTGAGACGTTCAATTTGACTACAAGTTTGCTAAAATTGAAATTTAGATGATCCCGAATTTAACTTTCAAGTTTCCGACTTGAATATGCCTCAACATTCGTGCTCGATCAAAGCAATTTTCAATGACGTATCACCATCAAATATATAAATACTTTTTGTTCATGAACAAATTAACTCTATTAAAGAGCATATAATAAAAAATGAAATTAATTTTTTTATAAAAAAGAATAACTCATTATAATAAAGCTAAAAATTATATGAAAATATATCAAATAAAGATTTATATCAAGATTGACTCGATTCTCTACGACCTTATTCACAAGCTCTATATTCACCATAAATTAAGCTTATTCATAAGTTTTAACTAATATTGTTGATGAACATAAACAAGTCAAATACATAGTTGTTCAAGTTTGTTTAATTAATACATGAATACTTTTAAAATTATTAGAACTTGCTTAGTTACTTAAAGAAACGATTGTAATAGAGTCGAGTCATAAGTAGCTTGTGGAACGCTAGATTTATTTGAAGTCCAGACTTGAATTGAACTGAAACTAAATCATCTCCAATCAAATTTGATCTAAAATTCAATCGGATGATATTTCAAGTCAAATTTATGTCATATTATTATGTTAGGTCAGTTATTAACACCCTATTAGTAATATTTTTTTTATTAACTTAATTCATTAACCTTGGTATATATTCTGTAATTAACAACCTTTTCATTGGAGTCTTGGTGGGACCTAACATGTCACGTGCTAGTCACGTATTCGCTGTGCACGTACAGAAGAAGCAAGGCACAGCGCACGCGAAGATTTCCCTTGCACCACGGATCCATCTGCTTCCCCAATCGACACTGCTGCAAATCTGCAATGGCCGTCGCCGCCGCCACCGCTGCTGCATCTCTGAGAACCTCCCTTCACTTCCCTTATCAAAATCCCCGTGCCCTGCGAAAACGGCAGCTCGACAGGGGGAGCACCCTCCGATGCTTCCACGGGTCGCTTACCCTCACTAATGGATGCGCCGACTTTGTTCGCAGCCGGCCTCGTCGGCTCCACCAGTCTCCCTTCTTGGTTTGCTTATCGTCGGGTAATTGTCTTGCCGCTTTCCCTTTAATTATACCGTTTTCTCCCATTCTTGATGAATCGATCGAGAGAGATCTGAGCCGAATCACCCTTTGGGGTTTGTAGCGCTGAGTCCGGAGTTGAAGTTAACGCTGGACAAGGTGGTGAGCTCCCATAAAGTAGTTCTCTTTATGAAGGGAAGCAAGGATTTCCCGCAGTGCGGCTTCTCCCGCACGGTAGTGCAGATCCTTAAGACGCTGAACGTACCCTTCGAAACCATGGACATTCTGGAGAACGAGGTGCTGCGTCAGGGCCTCAAGGAATACTCTAGTTGGCCGACCTTCCCCCAACTCTACATTGACGGCGAATTCTTCGGCGGTTGTGATATCACTGTCGGTGAGCTTGCAGTTCCCTTTTTCTTTTTTATCTTTATTCCTTCTTGGCTTCTTGTCGTTGTTCATTATAAAGTAAATTGTGGGTTAGAAAATCTGATTGATCTTTGTGCCTTAAAACGAGCAATTTGAACTTAATTAGTTATCACATGATCATGAATTTTGATGGTTGTGATCAAAAGAATAGACAAGCTGGGTATAGATTGGGAGATGAAGGAAAGGAATTTTTTTTTTGTTATTGCCCTTTCTACTTGATTGCTGTTGTTGAGGAAAAAAATTGGCTTTGAGAATTTTGAAAATGTTGAATTTGTTAGTCCCGTGAGTCCTAAATGCCCATACAATGATTTTGTTGTTAACGTGCACATTTTGATGTGATCTTATGATTTAGCTAATGCATGTTGGGGCCTCATTCATATAAGATAAGCCATTGAAAAATCTTTCAGCTTGAAGTTACTTAATAAATTCCAACAAAGCTAATTGGCATTTGATCGATATGAGTGCACTTCCAATCTCAAATCCTGGATACTAGGTTTCTTTTGATTTTCATAGGACCAATTTGTTATGTTTAAGTAGAATTCAAGAAATATAACTAATTAGTTGATTAGTTCTTTGAGATTCAAAAAGAATTTCAAAAGGCCAGACTAGTTTCATAGGACTATTTAAGCTTCAAAAAGTATAAACTTGCTCATGCCTTTTAAGCTTTCAACAAGTCTTTGCACTCACCAAATTTGTACTGTTTTGTGCCAGATGTAGGTTCTCTGTAATATGTGTTTCGTGCCAGATGTATATACTGTTTGTAAAAACCATACACAAGGTTATTTTTGGTTAATAGATAATCTGCTTTTCCATTGGAAAAATGATTTTTGTTGGGATGATTCAAAAAATCCTTGTAGTTTTGTTGAACACCTTTTAAACCTGTAAATACGTCCACATGATTAGACAGAAACCACTAATGAAAGTGCTCACATTTGTAAATTATTTGTAAGCGTTTAAGAGTTCTGAAGTTTCCTTGAGGTAAAATTCCCTCTTCTTCTCAGTCTCTTTAGACTTCCTTATTTTTATTTCTTATAAATTTGACAAAAAGTTGGGAGTGTGATTTCTACTATTCTTGTATTTGTACTAAACCGTGTAATTTATAACCTTTTATAGCCTTCAATAAAAGATATTGAAAAATTAGGATTAGAAATCATACCACATTCAATTCTTTATTCTCTATGCTGAATTAGGAGAGAGAGGGTTTGAGATCACTGCAAAATGCAAAGTATTCCATCAATGTGCAATAGATAGATGAGGTGATCGGTGATGTTATGTAATCTTAGAAAGTCCTTACTTGTGGTATAGTGATGATGTGTATTATATAAGGGAACAAAAATAGCATTTTTAAAAGAAGGAAAGAAGCGCAGGTACACTTTATCACTAAAGGATTTGGAGGTTGTTGGGTGAGTTAGGAGAGTAAGGACTATGCCAAAATTAGAGAACTTTCTTTCTTTAAATCCCTTGAAACCTATCAACTTATAAATTGAAGATGAAAGATGCTAGAAGGAGCCATCATCAACATAATAAACAATCTTGCCAAACTAGTCACGTTCAAATGAAGCAACAACTATGACAATCCAGGCAACTTCATAAGAAGCAACAACCTTGATCCTAGGAAACAGTCAGCTCCATCTTCAAAGGTGGTTGCCAACATTTGAGGATAATTTGTTTCCATGAAAAAACCAATTCTCCAAGCAAAAGCCAAATAACCTCATAATTTTCATGCTAATCTTTATTGAGAAGTTTCTATAGTATGGTGGCTAAAATAGGCTCAGGCAACCAATGACCATATTAGGTTGAAAAGAAGGATTTCCCTCATCATGAATACCAATTTATCAAAGCAAATGAACTTAATGGTGAGCCATAACCCAAGAGGTTCTCCTAACACTAGGTTTGGCTAACAAATCAGCCAAGCTATACTTAGTTGGGCCAAGGCTTTGCACCAAAAATGGTTTAATGATGTAGACACACAAGAAGAAATAGACGCAATGGATAGAACTTAAAACAAACTTTATTAAAATAAAAGCAGACAACTAAAACTTGACAAACACAACAAGAAATACTAGGAGATTTAAAAAAAATAAAAAAAGACGCTATCCTCAGACAACCGTCAGAGCGGGTTCTTCACATGCATCGAATAGTAGATTAAATAAAGAAGTGCATAAGACTAGCAAACCGATGGTCCACCACTGCAAGACTGTCCAAATGCTTCCAAATCAGCCAAGACACGACAACCTAAAGTTGCTTCACTGTTGAGAAGAAGGATATAGATGGAGTGGCACTTGCGGAAAGACGAAGAGGTTAGAAACCCGAGAAGAAAGGGTGGAAAGAGCCCGCAGGATTTCCGGAGGGAATGAGAAAAGAAGGGTGGAAAGAGCCCGCAGGATTTCCGAATAAACCAGCAGGTTAATAGCAAATATGCTCACAAATATCAACTGCCTTCCTTCACTTCATCATCTCTTATTTATAGGCAAAGTAGAGGAATGCCAAAAGCCACCTTAGTTAATGTTCACAAGATTCTAAGCAAAATAAGCATAGAAATCTTCCCCATGTGTTTCGAAAATCATCCCAAACCAGAAATCGAAGAAGCATTCACGGGAACCAAGCCTCACGCATGGAACCAAGGAGTCACGGACTCGGGAAAAGTCCCAGGTGCGGAAAACAACAAATGGCCGGTATTCAAAGAGGTAAAGCATGGAAAACAACACCTCATATAACTTTTTATGCATAGAATTCAGCCATCATTAAAGAGAAAACCACGGATTTCCAAGAGACAAGAAGAAAAGGGGAAGGGGAAGGGACAAGACCACTCCAAAAGTAAATCTTTTTAATGAGGTACTTTTTTGGATATTAATAAGCTACGAAATTTCAGCTCAACAACTTAAGAGAATGAGCTCAATGCCATAAGCTCCAAGCAGCCAACTAGTGAACCATCAGAAGCCAAGGACCGATCGAGCTAGTAAATCGAAGGTCTACCAAGCCTTATGCTCAATCTACCATGATCATTGGATGCTTTCCCATCATTGGATAGCTAAAAAAGAAAAGAAAATAAAATAGAAAACAAATATACTATTGTTCAAATAAAATAAAAAGTACAAAAATTCTTGATAGCATCTCAAAGTTGTCGCTTACTTCTGATCGACAACTAATACACCTAATTTGGTATCCAAAGATCTCCCTTACTTCTGATCGATGCTTGGTCATCAAGGATAAGATCTTGCCTTTATCATGATTGAATTTGATTCATTAGCTTATGATATTCCCTACTGGATTCATCTGCCTGTCGAACTCTTTAATACAAAGTCAGATGTACTATCATTTGGTATAAGTTATTAGGGATTTGATCCTTCTAGCTAATCACTTTTAAATGTAATACTGTCAAATGTTTGATCAATTTATTGTTGTCAATTAGCATCCATTTGGCATGTCCACTAAATTTCCTATTTAATGCATTAGCCACCACATTGGGCTGTATTGGATATCAAGATCATAATCCTTGATTAATTCTAATCATCTTTGTTGCCTAAAATTTAATTCTTTATTGTAAAAGTATATTTTAAAATTTTGTGATTAGTAAATACTTCACATCTCACACTATATAAATAATGCCTCCATATTTTTAAAGCTAACACTATTGTAGCCAACTCTAGGTCATGCGATGGATAATTCTTTATCATTAGTGTTGATATTAAACTCCATTAAAAAATGACACAAGATAATAATGTAGTTGGGTAGAATTATAGGTATGTAAGAATATAAAAATTTTGGATCCTTAAAAAACATAAAAATAAGAATATCCTCAAAATCTCTAGCAAGGCGAATACACGCCACGAAATATGGATTCCTTCTGAGATAACCCTTCATATATAACTTTATTACTCTATCGTGTTTACTCGTTACATCAATTAAACTAGCACCCACCTCAAAGGTAATGCATGTAGAAAAAATTGATTTTATCATTTAAGAGGAAAAATTGAATATATCTATACTACTGTAAAATGTGGATTATGATTTTGCAATTAAGCGATCCTCTCTATTATTTTTTTAATTAAAATTAATCTTCATTGTTTGATTTGTGCCTCTTCAAATTCCGCTCCCGTCTATTCATTTCTTTCTTCGGCTTTGCGTGAGGAGTTTTGAATCCATTTCTTTTTTCAGCTTCGTAGGAGGAGTTTTGAATGAGTCCCTAAAAGGACCTTCTTAGCCTTCTTCTCCTCATAGGAAGTCAGGCTTCGCATAAGGAGTTTTGATAGAGTTGGTAAAAGGACTTTCTTTTCCTTCTTCTCCTTTTGGATCGGTGGTTACGACGGATTCCTCTTCTCATGGTGGGAAGGAGATAACAAACTGAGTTGTTGAAATTGAAAGTCATGACGGGATTGGAAGTCATGATGAGAATTCGCTGAGATGGTAAAGATTGTTTTCTCCTTTTTCTCCTTCCCATAAAATTCATAAAATTACGAAATAAATTCATAAAATTCATAAAATTATAACAACTAATAGTATACATAAAGTGGGGGTAATATTAATAAAAAAGTAAAATTTTATTTACAAGCCATTTAAAAGCCAAATAAAAATCACAAAACATTAGTTTTTTAATTGAAATCACCTCTTGATAAAAATTAAACATATTTAAAATTGAAATAATAAATTAATAATAGGGTTGACTAGGGGTGTAAACGAGTCGAGTCGAGTCGAGTTTTGGCACTATCGAGCTCAGCTCATTAGTTGGAAAGTGAGTTCGAGCTCGAGCTCGAGTCGAGCTCAAAAAGCGAGCTCGAACTCGAGCTCGTTCTACTATAAACGAGCTCGAGCCGGCTCGCGAGCTTTGGCAAGTTAATTTCGTTTTCCAAAAAAAGCTGCAGCATTTATGATAAAATTCAATTTTTTTAAAAAGCTGAGCACTATTCAAAATAAAGCTGCACAATTTTCCAAAAAAACCTCCTGCCGAAACACCTTTTACTGCCCAAAAAACACCTAAATCAAATTTTTAAGTTATATTTTAATATTAAAAAAAGATGCAGCATTGTCTTGTATATGACGTGGGAAAGCCCGGTTGGCTTTCTTGTCTTGGGCCGTACATAGCTAAGGCTATATAA